AAGGTCAGGAGTTCGAGACCAGCCTGGGCAACATGGTGAAACCCCATCTCTTCTAAAAATACAAAACATTAGCTGGGTGTGGTGGCATGTGTCTGTAGTCCCAGCTACTTTGGAGGCTGAGGCAGGAGAATCACTTGAACCCAGGAGAGGAAGGTTGCAGTGACCTGACATCAGGCCACTGCACTCCAGCCTGGGCAACAACAGAGCAAGACTCTGTCTTAAAACAAAACAACAACAACAAAAATACAGTGTACTTAGAGGAAAGCCAAAGTTTGGTGAAAGTACTGGGAGATTGACAGTTTTTTGTTTTTTAGTCCTCCAACAAATGCATACTTAACGTGATTTATAAGGGATGCACTGAAATAAAAACTAAGTATTATACATTTGATTTATAAGATTAACTATACACAAATCCTGTTCTCAACTGATCTCGACTTTCTTTTTTAGTTTATACAGTCTCCTGTCAGATTTTTTGAAGTTTCCATTGTTTATATAGATTAAGTTTTTGGATTTGGCTGAGGTATAACTAAATTATAAATCTGCTATCTAGAAGCAGATAGAATTGTTGGATAGATAAAATGGGTCTATAGTTTCCTTTTAGGCTGACAGGGACCTGGATACGGGTATTCTATAACGCACTGAGGACTGAGCTACAATTACTTTTACCACAGTTTTTTGTTTTGTTTTTTTTTCTTTTTTGAGACGGAGTTTCGCTCTTGTTACTCAGGCTGGAGTGCAATGGCGCGATCTCGGCTCACCGCAACCTCCGCCTCCTGGGTTCAGGCAATTCTCCTGCCTCAGCCTCCTGAGTAGCTGGGATTACAGGCACGCGCCACCACGCCCAGCTAATTTTTTTGTATTTTTAGTAGAGACGGGGTTTCACCATGTTGACCAGGGTGGTCTCGATCTCTTGACCTCATGATCCACCCGCCTCGGCCTCCCAAAGTGCTGGGATTACAGGCTTGAGCCACTGCGCCTGGCCGGTTGGTTGGTTTTTTAAGGTAAGGTCTTGCTTGTTGCCCAGGCTAGAGTGCAGTGGTACAATCATAGCTCACTGTGGCCTTGAACTCCTGGGCTCAAGCAATCCTCCTGCCTCAGTCTCACAAGTAGCTGGAACTGTAAGTGCTCACCACCAAGCCTGACTAATTTTTTTAAAAAGTTTTTTTCGGTACAGACAGGATCTTACCATGTTGCCCAAGCTGGTCTCAAACTCCTGGGCTCAAGCAATCCTCCTGTCTCATCCCCACAAAGTGCTGGGATTACAGGTGTGAGCCGCAGTTACCCAGCCAAGCTTTCTATTTTGTTAAACAAAAATTATACAAGGAATGTTAAAACGATGAGTGTTCCTAGGAACTGTATCTTTTGATTGAATTCACCAAGATCTAAGGAAGTTCGTTTCACTCTGCGGATCAGTACAAAACTGCTCCCTGAGGCAAGCTACTGAGAGACAGGCAGGTAGGTAGTAAGATAGGAGTAGGCTTACAGGCAAATGCCATAGTTTAGATAGGCTGCTGCTTGGACTTAGCTGCATATTCAAGATCATCTTCTCAATTTTTCCAAACAAATTTTATTTCCTTTGGCTAGAGTTATACCCTAATTCTTATGTAAATTCTTGAACTTTTTATGTACTTTTTTTTTTTTTTTTGCTGGTGTTGGACGTAGGGTTTTTGCTGGTGTTTGACATATAGACATTGATCAAACCAAATTTACTTGGTCTTTGAATCTTAGAAATATATGCCTCTTTGTTTTTTATACTTAATATTCTGGCTTTGCCTCTAGCCACAAACATCCCAGTCATCCAGGCTTACACTTAAGAGGAGAATTACTCAGTTATTGATGGTTTATATTGACACTAACACAAGATCAATGAGGCCTTTATAAACTATTTAGAAAATAATCTTATCAGGCAGGAAAGGGATAGCAACAGTATCATCCTGGGAAATACTGCCATAAAACATTGCACGTTGGCCGGGCGCAATGGCTCACGCCTGTAATCCCAGCACTTTGGGAGGCCGAGGCGGGTGGATCACGAGGTCAAGAGATCGAGACCATCCTGGTCAACATGGTGAAACCCCGTCTCTACTAAAAATACAAAAATTAGCTGGGCATGGTGGCGCATGCCTGTAGTCCCACCTACTCAGGAGGCTGAGGCAGGAGAATTGCCTGAACCTAGGAGGTGGAGGTTGCGGTGAGCCGAGATCACGCCATTGCACTCCAGCCTGGGTAACAAGAGCGAAACTCCGTCTCAAAAAAACAAAACAAAACAAAACAAAAAAAAACATTGCACATTACCTCTAAATGTGTCTAATGAGTCATTAGCCATATACCATACTGTTACACAAAGGCATATATATAATACATAAATATAAAATATGAAAATCATAGTAGGACACACATTTTCCCTTCCCCACATTCTCAACTTCCATTTTATGCAATGTTTTTCTGTGTATTTTTAAAATATTCCATTTCGATATGGAGAGTTCTATAAATTATTTGGAAGCAGAATTATGGGCTGTGTCTACATAACAAATAAAGTAGTAATGTAAGAAGTCTGTGATAAAACTAAATTATATAAAGTACTGATATGTATTTACTTATGCTAGAAACAAACTACTTTTTCTTATCCTACAGTTCTACAATGGAAGCATGTTCTGATATCCTGGTAAATCATAACAAAAATCTGACTGAGTTGTATTTTGTTCCATAATCAGAATACTTACATGAAAATGAGAGTTATTAGCTACACAAATTGTGTTGTTTTACTTTCGATTCAGACTTGTTTGTCCAACTTGCTTCCCAATATCTCTACCTAAATGCCCCATGGACATCTCAAACTTAACACCTACAAAATAAATCCCAGCTCTTCTCACCTTGATTCTCTTATCTATCCCAATCTCCTTTTCCTCACTTGTTCTCTGCCTAAGTGCAAAGCACTACAATCCACCTAGTTACAAGCCCCAAAGCTTGCAGTCATTCTGCTGAATGGGGTACAGTAGTGATGAAGAACACAGGCTCTGAAATCAGAGTGCTAAGGTTCAAATCCAGCCTTGCAACTTGTCATATGTGTGACCTTGAGCAAATTGTTTAACCTCAACCAGACTTAGTTTTTTCATCTGTAAAACTGCACTTAAACGTGGGGCTAAAAAAGTTTGTTTCACTCTAAACAATAGTACAAAACTGTTGCATAAGGAAAGCTACTTGGAGACCAGCAGGCAGTAGGTAGGAGTGGACTTAGATGCAAATGTCATTGTTTTTGTTTGTTTGTTTGCTTGCTTGTTTTCTGAGATGAAGTCTTGCTCTACGATCCAGGCTAGACTGCAGTGGTGCAGTCTCAGCTCATAGCAACCTCTGCCTCCCAAGTCCAAGCAATTCTCGTGCCTCAGCCTCCCAAGTAGCTGGGACTACAGGCATTCACCACCATGCCTGGCTAATTTTTTTGAGATGGTGTGTCACTCTGTTGCCCAGGCTGGAGGACAGTGGTGTGATCTTGGTTCACTGCAACCTCCACCTCCCAGTTTCAAGCAATTCTCTGTCTCAGCCTCTCAAGTAGCTGGGATTACAGGTGCCCACCACCACGCCTGGCTAACTTTTGTGTTTTTAGTAGACATGGGGTTTCACCATGTTGGCTGGGCTAGTCTTGAACTCCTAACCTCAGGTGATCCACTCTCCTCGGACTTGCAAAAAATGCTGGGATTATAGGTGTGAGCCACTGCACCCGGCCCCGGCTAGTTTTTTAAAAAATATTTTAGTAGAGACAGGGTTTCACCATGTTGCCTAGGCTGGTCTTGAACTCCTGACCCAGGCAATCCACCCACCTCAGCCTCCCAATGTGTTAGGATTACAGTCATGAGCCACTGCGCCTGGCCCACAAATGTCATAGTGCACATGTGGGCTGCCTAGTGCATAGTGTCATAGATGCTGCCTATCTAAACCATGTGTGAAAATCAAGGTCACATAGCTAACAAGTGGCAAGGCTGGATTTAAACCTTAGCAATCTGATTTCAGAGCCTGTGCTCTTCATCACTACTGTGCCCCATTCAATAGGATGATGGAGATTTTGGGCTTGGTAACTGGGTGCATTGTAGTGCTTTGCACTTAGGCAGAGAAGAAGCGAGGAAAACTTGTTACCCAGAATAAATGAGATGAGGAAAGTATCTACACTACCACCAATGTCCAATTAATTTGAAGTTCTATTGATTCCACATCTTAGTATTTCTTTTTTCTGAACTCTCCTCTACAATTCTGATGTGCTTGGAAAAATGTTACAGCATTATGCATGTACTAAATGCCAGTGAAAGACCAAGTATGACATATTGAGGCTACCCCTTTTAAGTACACAGAGAAATTGCCTTACTTAGTTTTCTAGGCAGGCTTTTTTTACAGCATATCAGTTGGAGTTTGAAATAAATCCTGACATTAATTTGGGGCAATATAATTGAGCTCAAGAAAAGCTTTTCTTTAAAAATTCAGAATTGTAATTACCATCTACACTAGTGAAATATTATACATAATAAATATTTTATAAACTAGGAATATTCAGAAAGCTAATCTATTATATTTTAACTCATAACCCTTATAAAATATGCCATACAACTTTCATTTAATATATATTGCATAATCTAAGACAAATATAAGTAAAGTAATGTTTTAAAACTCTGAACTGGGCCAGGTGTGGTAGCTCATGCCTGTAATCCTAGTACTTCGGGAAACCAAGGAGGGTAGATCTCTTGAGGCCAGAAGTTCAAGACCAGCCTGGGCAACATGGTAAAACCCATGTCTATTAAAAACACAAAAAACTAGATGGGCATGGTGGTGTGTGCCTGTAGTCTCAGCTACCTGGGAGGCCAAGGTGGGAGAATCACCTAAACCTGGGAAGTTGAGGCTGCAGTGAGCTATGTTTGTACCACGACACTCTAGCCTAAGCCATAAGAGTGACACCCTGTCTCAAAAACAAACAAACGAACTCTGAACTGAAAATGTAAGGTAATTATGATAGTTACATTTTTGATTTTGTAACGCCACATGACTTGTCTTCTCTGATCTTTGATATTGCCTCAGATGTGGAAGTAGCACTATCCTTTTCAAATTCCAACTGAAAATCAAATGTCAGGGGTATAGGCATAGTTGTTTTTCTTCCTCCATTCTGAAACCTGTTTATCTGCAGCAAAGCCAAAGTAGAAAAAAAAAATGAGTACTTTTCATATGAGGAAAATCTTAGGTGGAAAGAAAAATAAATAATCTCACTTTACACACACACACACACACACACACACAGAGAGAGAGAGAGAGAGAGAGAATTTAGGTGGTAGGCAAAAAAAAAATAATGAGTACTTTTCATATGTGGAAAATCTTAGGTGGAAAAAAAATTAATCTCACTTTACACACACACGTACATATATATATACACACACACACTGAATTTAGGTGGTAGGCAATTCTTAAAAATATATTAAGAATTGGGGTCTTGTGCACCAACTGTTTTTACGCCTGCTTTGTGACCTGAGCCATGCTTTTCCCCCCTATAAAATGTGAGGGTAGGACTAGAGGATTATGAAGGCTCCCTCCTAACTCTGAAAGAGAGAATTTAAGGAAAGACCTACATATTTAGCAAATATAGATATGATACATAGAGTTCTTGGAACCATAACAGGCATGTCTCTTCAGCCTGCTCCTCCTCCTGTAGCCACATACGTGGTGAATCACACCACTCTGCCTCCAGTCGCCTGAGCCAGAAATCGAGTGAAGAAAGCAATCAAAAGAGGACTTTGTTAAAGTCTTTATACAAATGGATTGAAGAAGAAAAACGATCTTGCTAAAAGGTGAGTAAAGCAGCCAAAAGGTCTCAGAGCATAGCACAAAGGAATAAAGAGATGAAAATCCTGAAAGCAAAGTCAAAGGATATGGGGAGCTTCTGCTTCTGCCAATAGATTAAGCACTATGGGAATTAATCTCCGGCTCTCAACAACTAGAAACTCAGACAAAATACATGAAAACAACTGCCTTCAGCTATTGGAAAACAGAGTAGGACAGATGGCTGAAAGAAGGGAAACAAATGAGGTCGACCCTCCAATAGCCCAGCTTACTTCCTGGAGGTGGTTTCGGGGCTGAGGTTCAGGGAGGAGAAACCCATTGGATTGGGAGAACTCAAACCAAATCTTGTGGCCTTGATCTTGCTACAGTTCACAGAACGATTGCACCAGCAATCATACTCTTGGGCATTCACCTCAGAGAAATGGAAACTCATGTGCATACAAAAACCTGGATGCAAATGTCCATAGCAGCTTTGTTTTATTTTTTAAGCAGCTTCATTTTTACCAGTAAAATCGTGAAAACAATCCAAAAGCCCTGCATTGGATGATTGGTTGAAACTTTCTTGGTACGTGATTGGTTACATGTACCAATGATTGGTACATCTATATAATGGAATAACAGTAATAACTCAGTAATAACATTTTTATATTTTTACATGTTACCTTTTCAACCAGTATACTTATCTGCTTTTTACAAATTAGTTTATATAATATTAATGCATCATTAGCTAAAAAGTAAAATTATTCACATTTGAAATGTTAACCTGTTAATGATTAAATCGAATTGTAGTTTATACTTCACAAACCTTTGCTCTTCTGGCCAAGATTATCTCTGCTTGCTTATCAAGGACATCTAACTTCTTTAAGATTTTTTCTGCCATTGTCAGTCAGTAAATCCCTATTTTAAAATAAGGAAGAAGAAGAAAAAATCAATTCAAATTTAAACATATAACAATTTAGGCATAAGTTTTCAAAAGACCCACTTTTACATTACTGTTTTAGGTAAATAACAGAATTGTTTGGCTGGGCTCCGTGGCTCACGCCCTGTAATCCAAGCACTTTGGGAGCCAAGGCAGGCGGATCATGAGGTCAGGAGTTCAAGACCAGGCTGGCTAACATAGTGAAACCCCATCTCTACTAAAAATGCAAGAAATTAGCCGAGTGGGTGTCTGTAATCTCAGATACTTGGGAGTCTAAGGCAGGAGAATCACATGGACTGGGAGGCAGAGGTTGCAGTGAGCTGAAATCGAGCCATTGCACTCCAGCCTGGGCACTTCGTCTCAAAAAAAAAAAAAAATTGTTTAAATCATACAGTAAATCATAGAATTGCAAACATGCCCAAGTTTTTTCAATTGAAAGCCATATGATCAGAACTCCCAGGTGTGTATAGGCCCCTTGAAGCTTTAAATTGATGATGAAGGTGAGGGGGAGAAAGTTCACAATTACCATATGAGAACCATATGTGACTTATACTTAAAGCAAGACCAAGTGGCTTGACTTATGTCTATTTTCTTTTTTAATTTTTTAAATTAAAATTCTATCAAGCTAGAAATATGACTTTTTTTTTTTTTTTCGAGACGGAGTCTTGCTCTGTTGCCCAGGCTGGAATGCAATGGTGTGATCTTGCCTCACTGCAACCTCCACCTCCTGAGTTCAAGTGATTTTCCTGCCTAAGCCTCCCGAATAGCTGGGATTACAGGCTTGCACACCATGGCCACCTAATTTTTATATTTTTAGTAGAGATGGGGTTTCACCATGTTGGCCAGGATGGTCTCAAACACCTGACCTTAAGTGATTTGCCCTTCTCAGCCTCCCAAAGTGCTAGGATTACAGGCATGAGCCATGGCGCCCAGCCAGGAGTAGGACTTTAGACATACCTATTTTCTTTTTGTCATGATATAATTTTAACGAAAGTAAATGCAAGAAACTCATATTTATATAATTAATTGCTTCACATTAAATTGATCAGTGATCCACGACTGTTAACAGCATGTAGTGGGCAATTAGTCACACATAAGTAGCAGCAGCTAAGCTGGTTAGGTCCCATTGCCATAATAGTTCATATTTCCTAGTTAATTGATATTGCTAACAGTCTCATCTGAGGTCAAGCAGTTCATATTAAGCTTAGGGAGCTGCATGTAAATCAGAACCTGGTCTGATTTACATCTTCAAATGAGAAAAACTGAAGGCCACAAAGTACCCTATCAGTAAAATACAAATAGCTAGAATAGAGTAGAGGCAAGAATCCAGAAATATCAACCCAAAGCTCCCTTTATTTTTTATTTATTTAAAAATTTTTGTAGATGGGCCAGGCACAGTGGTTCATGTCTGTAATCCCAGCACTATGAGAGGTCTGGGCGGGCATGACACTTGAGGTCAGGAGTTCAAGGCCAGCCTGGCCAACATGGTGAAACCCGTCTCTATTGAAAATACAAAAATCAGCTGGGTGTGGTGGCATATGCTTTTAATCCCAGCTACTTGGGAGGCTGAGGTAGGAAGATCACTTGAACCTAGGAGGTGGAGCTTGCAGTGAGCCAAGATGGTGTGCCACCGTACTCCAGCCTGAGTGACAGAGTAAGATTCAATCTCAAAAAAAAAAAAAGTGCAGATGACCATGCAGTCAGTATATTTTTGCTCAGTGAATTAAATGGGCTTCAGTGGCATTTAAATGTAAAAGTTACATGGTTAACAGAAAGTACTGAATCATCAATGTTTTTAATGAACATTAATGTTAATACTAAGGTCTTAAGGCCGGGCGCGGTGGCTCAAGCCTGTAATACCAGCACTTTGGGAGGCCAAGGCGGGTGGATCACAGGTCAAGAGATCGAGACCACCCTGGTCAACATGGTGAAACCCCATCTCTACTAAAAATACAAAAAATTAGCTGGGCATGGTGGCGCGTGCCTGTAATCCCAGCTACTCAGGAGGCTGAAGCAGGAGAATTGCCTGAACCCAGGAGGCAGAGGTTGCGGTGAGCCGAGATCGCACCATTGCACTCCAGCCTGGGTAACAAGAGTGAAACTCCATCTCAAAAAAAATAAATAAATAAATATTAAGGTCTTTCTGGCTCAAAAAAGTCTATATTTCTCCTATATTGTATATTATTCCACCAACACAACACCACATAGAGACAACAGTTCATGAAAAGAGAAAGATTAAAGATCCTATGCCAAAAGTTTACATTATTTTGTACTTGGTTTTCTTTAGCTTTTTTTTTTTTTAACTCTTTTTCCTTCACTATATATTGCCCTGAGTATGAATTCTTCATGCCTTTATAGTGACATCCCATCCCAGCGTGCCTTCTATCACATCACCACATGCAGCCAGATTCTCCCTCCATCACATAATGTAGTCCGTTGTGATAAATAAATTCCACAGAGATACTGAGTGTGGTGGTGCATGCCTATAATCCCAGCTACTTGGGAGGCTGATGCAGGAGGATTGCTTGACCCTAGGAGTTTGAGACCACTCTGGGCAACATAGCAAGACCCCATCTTAGAAAGAAAAAAAAAGTAGCTGGGCATGGTAGCATGCATCTACAGTCTCAGCTGCTGGGGAGGCTGAGGTGGGAGGATCAAAAGGTTCATTTAAGCCCAGGAGTTTGGGGCTGTAGTGAGCTATGATCATGCTAATACACCCCAGCCTGGGTGACAGAGCAAGACCCCATTTCTTTAAAAGAAAATTACATGGAGGAAATTCTGGGCCATCGGGGTGCCGGCAGATAGAATGTCTTGTGGCAAACCGTACAACGTCAGGCTGCATGCTGGGAAGGGGAGATCCAGGATTGTGAAAGCTGATTATATGAAATGGGTCACTCTTGTGGTACCTAACTAAAACACAGTGAGAAGCCAGGGCAAAGCAAAAGCACTCAGGGCACAAAAGATTGCTCCAAAAATGCAGTTCCTCTAGCAGCTGAAATTGACTGCTATAACCTAAACCAGTTGTATCTAATAGCTACTGAAAAGACCAAGATCACACCACACCACTACACTCTAGCCTGGGTGACAGAGCAAGACTCTGTCTAAGGCCGGGCGCGGTGGCTCCAGCCTGTAATCCCAGCACTTTGGGAGCCTGAGGCGGGTGGATCACGAGGTCAAGAGATCGAGACCATCCTTGGTCAACATGGTGAAACCCCGTCTCTACTAAAAATACAAAAAATTAGCTGGGCATGGTGGTGTGTGCCTGTAATCCCAGCTACTCAGGAGGCTGAGGCAGGAGAATTGCCTGAACCCAGGAGGCGGAGGTTGTGGTGAGCCGAGATCACACTATTGCACTCCAGCCTGGGTAACAAGAGCGAAACTCCGTCTCAAAAAAAAAAAAAGACTCTGTCTAAAAAAAAAAAAAACTAAATTAAATGTTCCTCAGTGTGATCTATGTTTATGTTCTTTATTATATCTTTTTAATTTTAATGCATACTTTCGTGTTCCTACTTCATATTTCTTTCTGAATTCTCAATATATATGAGCATATATTATTATTTGATAATAAGCATTTATTTGTTCATTTGGTCACTGGCTACCTAAATATATTACATGAAGATATTGTGCTAGGTATTCTATCAAATTTACTGAGAAAGTTGGCACCTGATAAACATTTTTCTTTGTGACCCCCATCTCCCTAGGCAAAAGAGATACCCTCTCCTATTTCACTAAGAAAATAGACCATCAAGTAAAAGCTTCTTCAGCCCCTACCTCTCATACCAAGGTGTTATTCATTCCCATTCATTCTGCACTTTAATTTTAACAGAGCTGTTGGCTCTCCCAACCAAAGCTAATCCCTCCTGATGTACTCTAAACTCCATTATCTTCAATCTCCTGAAATAATTATCTCTATTAGTTGTCACCTTTCTCCTATACCTTTTACCTCTTTTCTTTTCGCAAATATCTTCCTCTTAGCATGCTCAAATTTATTTGCAAAAGAGAAAAAAGTTCTTCTCCTGATCCTACTAGTTATGTCTCTTATCTTCTGAAGTATTCTACTTAGAGTTGGGGGAAGTGTGCTCATCTAGAATATAGGGTTCTGATGCGGTCACAATAGCTTAACTCATAGACTCTCGGGGGTGGAATAGATCAATGGTCTCTCACAGAATTCCATTAACAGGGGGGCAACATTAACATCAAGAAGACAGACCTTTCTTATCCTTGCTTTGATTTCCATTGCCATCATCCTTCTTCAGACTTTCAGGTTGTCACTTATCATCCTTTGGGTTACTGCACTATACACCCCCGCTTGTTTGCCTGCCCCAAACCTTCCTCCTCACTCCTCAAATATTGATTCTTCGAAATGCCATCAGGCTGGGTATGGTGGCTCACACCTGTAATCCCAGCTGGGTATGGTGGCTCACACCTGTAATCCCAGCACTTTGGGAGGCCAAGGCAGGCAGATCACCTGAGGTCAGAAGTTCGAGACCAGCCTGGCCAACATGATGAAACCCCATCTCTACCTAAAAACAAAACAAAACAAATAGTCGGTCATGGTGATGCATGCCTGTAATCCTAGCTACATCACACTATTGCATTCCAGCCTGGGCGACAGAGCGAGACTCCTTCTCAAAAACAACAAGCAAACAAACAAAATGCCATCAGAGCTGTCTTTCTTAAACCAGAAACTGATCAGGATCAGTTCCAGCCCACAAACCTTGGCTTGATCTCATAACCTGAAGAATGACACACAAACTCTTCAGAAGACATATGAGACCAGTCAAGAAAAGACAGTCCAGGATCTGACTCAGCTCCCCTTTCTGGTTTATCCTTCCTACCCCTTTCTGTTGCACCATTTTCTACCATTCCTACTTCCTGGACATGTTTCCCTTTTCCCAAGCATGTCCCTCACTCATGCATTTCCTTCTACTCAGAATGTTCTCCCACATGTCTTTCAGTCAAAAGCCTACTCCTTTTTTTCTTTTTGCCTTGTAAACAGAGGAATTTTCTACAAAGTTTTGCACCTTCAAAGCTATCACTCCAATAAGACACTAATTCAATTAAACAAATAATCTTTAAAAATATGTTAACAATGTGCAAATATATTCACAACATAATCTGCTGATTAAGACTTCAACAAAGTTTATAGGACCTACGACAGAATTTACAGATGCCTACAATAGTTTGTATATTGGTTTAGTTTACAGTTACATATATTGCTTTAAGAAATACCATTAATACAAATACATAATTTACAATATCCCCAGTATAGCAAGAAAAAACATAGATTCAAAAAATAAAATCTTTTAGACACTTATTATGCCAAGTATGTAAATGATTATTCCTATTATGACATGAAAATAATGCTCTTTTAGTGGTAAAAGATAGACTGATTAGCTCAAGTTCCACTGAAGAGCTTTCAATCTAGCTATTCTTTTTGTAAAATAAATAGAATAGCAGCCATCTCTGTGTATTTCTTATATAAACTATGATGATTCCATTTATATTAACTGGGCCTTAAGTAAATGACTTCTTACAAATAAAAATAAAATTTTTTGTTTGTTTGTTTGTTTGTTTTTTTGTTTTTGAGACGGAGTTCCGCTCTTGTTACCCAGGCTGGAGTGCAATGGCGCGATCTCGGCTCACCGCAACCTCCGCCTCCTGGGTTCAGGCAATTCTCCTGCCTCAGCCTCCTGAGTAGCTGGGATTACAGGCACGTGCCACCATGCCCAGCTAATTTTTTGTATTTTTAGTAGAGACGGGGTTTCACCATGTTGACCAGGATGGTCTCGATCTCTCGACCTCGTGATCCACCCGCCTCGGCCTCCCAAAGTGCTGGGATTACAGGCTTGAGCCACCGCGCCCGGCCATAAAAATAAAATTTTAGAAAATAGTTAATACCACTCACCCTAATTATTTTCATTTGCTTGCATATGTCTAAGAAATTTCCCCATGAGGTACATATTAAAAACTAACAATTATTTCCAACTTATACATAAGCCAAAGTGCTCACTCTTACCATGGAAGCAAAACTTACTTCTGAAAATAATCTACAGAAATAATATGTAAACACACAGAGCTTTGAGACAGACTAAGAACATCTCCTATGTTCTTTGGATCAAAATGCAAAGGTCTCCCTCCGTTAGCTATGTAAATGAACACTTTCATTAACTTGGGATATACTGATACTACATGGCTGTGTTGTGCATACCTACGGAACATGTGCATACCTACACGACTGAACAAATCTTGACAATGTTTCTAGTGCCAACGTATACTTCCTAGCCCCAACTGCTGGAAAGGAAATTAAAACCTAATATGAAAACTACATTCCCTTTTTATAAATAAAGTTGTTAAGTGGAAAAACAAAGCCAACACTCCTTGTGGCAACATGGACCAAGCTCTAAAAGGTTCAGAGTCAAGAATCTCTTCAGTTGTTCCCCAGTGTAACAAAGCACATAAGCTTTCTCTATTCAGGAAGTCCGATCACCTCCAGTATTTTGTCTTAAAAACTGCTTTCCAAGATATGAAGTAGCCATGCTGGTTAAATTCTTTCTGCTGCCTACCTTACATCTGATGTAACCATGCAGGTTGGTACCTTGTAGCACCACACCCATGATAACCACCACTAACCACTTTACTCTGAATAAGAGGATACTAAAGGCAAATATCACTCACAGCACTGGACAGGCAGTTAGTCCCAACCAAAAGATTCTTGATTCAGCCTCTGACACAGTTTTATTCTCTTGAAAGGAATCCTTCCTAGATTCAAACACCCAGTGGCTCTTTCCATCTTCATGGAATGTGATTCCAGCAAGGTAGGGCAACCATTAGTCTACCTGTGATATTCTTCACTGCCCAAAAGTAACATGACAACAAGATAATTGTCACCAAACAGATAATAAAACCGCTGCTGAGCAACTCACAGAGAAGATAGGTAACAATTACACTGATTCAAAAGAAGAGCAGAAAAACGATGCTACTGTGAGATGTCGACTACCACCTGTGGATGTCTGGCCTGCAGATCCTGACTCAGTGACGGATGAATGAAGGCACTCTTACACCATTACAGTGAAACAAGTGGGCTAGGGATGGCCATTGGCTGCTTTCTGAGGGTGAAATGCAACCAATCAACCCAGACCCTCTGTCCATCCACGCATTAATTCCATCAAGATTTTACAATAGAGGTACTAAGTTAACATACTTGTGGTTAATTGACATGGTTAAAAGAGTGGTTATAGGAATGATAAAAAGCTTTAGGTTCCTGGCCCAGAGTAAACACTATTAACAGGTAACTCCCCTCTGATCTCCCACTGACAGGACCATCCGACTGCTACTCATGAGTTAACAGTTAAGAGTAGGAGGGGGGTGTGACCCTGCCTGCCTGCCTGGGAGCACACATTTCCCGTCCCTGGTGACCAGGGATGGTGGCCAGGCCTTGCCCTTGCTGTTGCTGTATGGTGTCCTTTTGGAAAGGGAGCTGTCCTGGGCTTTACTTTAGTGCAGCTGCCAACCCTGTTAGGCCTGGCCTCTCGAGGCCTCTTCTGACTTCCAGGATCACACACCCCTGGAGAGCCTCTCACCCACAGTAGTTGCTGTGCATGGTTCTCTCTGTCCCTGCACCCATGCACACACACCACCCCATCGAGTTGAGAGCCAGCTTTGCTGGGTCACCATGCAGCCCCAGTTGTGCCTGCCCTTCAGGTTACCTAGCAACATGTACATGCTTTTTTTCTTTTTTTTTTTTTTTTTTTTTTTTTTTTTGGCTTTAATTGTACAGTCAGTACTATAAAATTTGAGTTTTAAAACTTTGTAGCATTTTAGATGACATTGTGTTTGTACTTTATTGTGTAGAGTGGAAGAACTGTGTTAAATAAATGCAGGATTGGAATGCAGGTCTAAAAAAAAAAAAAAAAAAAAAAAAAAAAAAAAAAGAGTAGAGACAAAGGGATGTGGGATAAACAGACTTAAGGAGAGCCTCCTTCCTATTTTCTCCCTAACTTAATGGACCTGCCACCTTCGGCCTATCCCAAGAAAACCTTTCGACCTTCCAAAAGGTTTGAGACTAATCTGTAACTTTCCCTAATATACCTTTAACATTTTGCCAGCCACCCTGAGTGCATATCAACACTACTGGATGTCTGATTTTCTATTTTCTTGGTCTATTAGTTGTCTCCTCTTCCACATCAAACAGTGAAACATCTTCCGTGTCATCATTACTATCTTTCTGCAACATCAAAAGCCTACTCTTTATCAAATATGGTATAAAGACTACTCTTCTATGAAACTTTACTTGGCATCCTCTTATTCCTTGTCTTGATGACAGTCTTTTATTTGTGTGCTCCTGGCCTCAAGCAAGCCTCCAGCCTCAGCCTCCTGAATAGCTGGGATTACAGGCGAGAACCACCATATCAGGTTTTAAGAGGTTTACTCGCTGGGCGCAGTGGCTCGCACCTGTAATCCCAGCACTTTGGGAGTCTGAGGTGGGCGGATCATTTGAGGTAAGGAGTTTGAGAGCAGCCTGGCCAACATGGTGAAACCCTGTCTCTACTAAAAATACAAAATAATAAAAAAAAAAAAATTAGCTGGGCATAGTGGCACACACCTGTAATCCCAGCTACTTTGGAGGCTGAGCAGGAGAATAACTTGATCCCAGGTGGCAGACATTGCAGTGAGCCGAGATTGTGCCACTACACTCCAGCCTGGGTGACAGAGCAAGACTCCATCTCAAAAAAAAAAGAGGTTTACTCTTTGTCAAAAATCTCTTCTTCACTAGGTTGAAAGCTCGTTTAAAGCAAGAATTGACTTACCCACCTCTGAATCTCAGCTTCAGGCACAGCATTTTACATCTAATAGTGATTTGAAAATTATAATTTAATTTGGAGATGTCTCTGAATATAACTTTTTAGAAAAAGTAAACCTAGTTTATCTGTAATAAATGATGTCACTTTATAATGATCTACTGGAAGATGAAATAAAAAGTTGAGTGAATTATTATAAAACGGGACTCTTGGAAACCTAAACTTGGTAAAATTGTTTTGAAAGGAAACTTGGATTTATGTTCTTAATTTCTAGCTCAGTAGTGTTGTTTTTCGTTGTTGTTTTTGTTTTTTTTTTTTAAAGAACACAATGGAATAGAGGCCACGCCAACTGGGGCAGAATAAATTCCCAATTATTCTCACAGTAAATCATCTACAGGCCTCACTGCAAAGCCTTATTCATAACAAAAATTGAAGGTCAGTATTAATAGTATATCAGAGACTAAGTTGTATCTGAAGTAAAAATGTCTTAAATATCTTAAGAGAGCAATTTTATTTTAACAGCATCTTTGGGATTAAAAACAAACAAAAAAAAACACAAGAAAACCCAGTGTCGTCGATACAATAGGCTCAGCTGATTAGGCTTCTTCAGCAAGTTCTAAACAACTCAGAAAAACTAAGGATGTCTAAAGTCACAAACTAAAGACCTGAGAAATTACCTAGAAAATGCAGGCTAAATTAAAATTCACTTCCATTATTTGGCTTTATTAGTTCAAATGCTTACTCCTTGAGGACAAGGCCACTTCTTACATTTTTATGTGACACAGTCCACTATTGAGACCACAGTAAGCACTCACGTCATCTGTTAAATGATCCATGTTTATTCAATAATGAGATAACTGGCCGAGTAGCTCCATCTCATATTCCAAGTACCAACTTAAGGGAATCTTTTTTTTCTTCTAAATCTAAAATGTTGATAGATGGCCTGTATTATAGGCTGAATTATGTTGCCTCCAAATTCGTATGTTGAAGTCCTAGGGCCCAGGATCTCAGAATGTGACCGTATTTGTATATATGGCCTTTAAAGAGTCAAGTTAAAATGGGGTTCTTAGGGTAGGCGCCCCCATCCAGTATGACTGGTGTCATATAAGAAGACACCAGGAGAGAGGAGAAGAGGAGATTGGGACAGCAGGATACACCGAGAAAAGGCCTTGTGAAGAATCAGTGAGAAGGCAGCTACCACCCCAGGCCAAGAGAGGCCTCTGAAGAAAACAACCCTGCCCACACCTTCATTTCTAACTTTTAGTGTCTAGAACTGTGAGAAAATAAATTTCTATTGTTTAGCCACTCCGTCTCTGATGTTTTGTCATGGCAGTCCCAGCAAACTAGTACAGCCCCGGCACTGAGAGAACTCATTTAAAAACCCGACCCATGTGCTTAGCTACACATTACGCATTTTCTTGTTATTTATTTTTATTTTTGAGACAGGGTCTCACTCTGCCACCCAAGCTGGAGTGCAGTGGTGTGACCTCAGCTCACTGCAACCTCCACCTCCCTGGTTCAAGCGATTCTCTTGCCTCATCCTCCTGAGTAGCTGTGACTCCAGGCGCTCGCCACCACGCCCAACTAATTTTTGTATTTTTAGTAGAGACTGGGTTTCACCATGTTGGCCAGGCTGGTCTCGAACTCCTGACCTCAAGTGATCCGCCCGATCGGCCTCCCAAAGTGCTGGGAGTACAGACGTGAGCCACTGCGCCCGGCCTGGAAGGGAAGTTTCTAAGAAAAGCTATCAAGGAATTCTAAAACGATGATGTACGGACATTGAGGAATATTATTGTGGGCGACTAATCAGGTAATTATTGGAAAAATTGATTAGCCAGATGGAGATCGCAGCACAATTACCGCAGGAGTGATCAGCTCCCACCAGCCATTCCAGGAGGTTGGGTGTCATCAGTTTGGAAATGGATCAGTGAAGCAGCGCCCAGCGCCCCTCGCACCTCTCTCCCCGCCCCCGGGTCACCGTCCCCCAGGAGCCTCCATCCCGCTGGAAACACACGGATCCCTACTCTAACGCTCTATGCCTTTGGTCGTTTCATGGGAAAGCAAAATTAAGGGCGACATTGAGGAAGCTCATTAATATTTAGTTTAGAAGACGCAAAGGGTTCTTCTAAACTAAATATTAATGGAATCGGGGAGAGCCCCCAGGACCCGCCTCCCGCCGGGTCCCACACCCGCCTGACCTCACTCACACTCTCCCAGTCCAGGCCCCGCTGCAGACCGTCCCACTGACTCCAGGAACAGGAAGGCCGTTTATGTAAAACGATGTTTTTTCTATTTCGCCTCCCACCCTCCTACAAATTTTGATTTTCAGCGTTTCCAACGCTCTCGCCCCCAGAAACAAACCTCATCTCCTTTCCTCCCTCTCCCGGTTCCGCGGGTTTCTCGCCCCGCCCCCACCCTTCCGTCCCTTAGCAACGCGTCCTCTGTCCGTGGAAACCGGTTCCCGAGCGCGGCCCACCTCTGAAAGGCCCGAAGAGCAGAGTTCTCTTCGCAGAGGGGCTTCGACCACAGACTTTCGTCACTGAAAGCCCCGGTGACTCCCCAGATGCTTACGGATATTAAAACAGGTTATGCTGAAAGAGTGGAAGGAGATTTTGTTTCCCCTTCTTGTACCGCCTTTCTTTCTTCTTTTGTGCTTTCCTGCAAACATCGAATTTCAAAAAGAAGCTTACAAAGTCCCCCATGCAGTTTGCGGGTCTGAATGGAAGTCAACAGTTTATATTTGAATATTTGATAGAATATTGCTTTCATGGCTTATGATATTTAAAATATTTCTTATTTCCAAGGCCAAGAAACCTCCCATGTGGTTAGTAAAATAACTCCTGTATTACACGAGTTGTATAGCAGAGCATTTTTATGAGTCATAATGCACTCTGACATACATTCTGCTGTATTTACTGTATCCTAAGGAACCATTTGTCCTTGTTGCTCACTTCTGTGAACAGAAAATGCTCTCAGGCTATGGGAGTCATTCATTTTTAGAGTCATAATCTAAACTTGAAAACAGCTTGCATTTAATTAAAAATGGTGGGGAATTTCACAACATTGGTTAAATTAGGTCAGGAGTTGGTCATTATTCTAAGAATGTACCTTATCTGATGCATCAAAATAGGGACAAAAAAAAAAAAAAAAAAAGGCTTTAAAAACCAGCATTTCAACATCTGTGAAAAGAAGAGAGAGAAAAAAAACAGCATTAATTATCACAAGTCCATGGCTGGGCACGGTGGCTCACCCTGTAATCCCAGCACTTTGGGAGGCTGAGGCAGGCGGATCACTTGAGATTAGGAGTTCCAGACCAGCCTGACCAATATGGTGAAACCCCATCTCTTCTAAAAATACAAAAATTAGCCAGGTGTGGTGGCGTGCACCTGTAATCCCAAACGTACTCGGGAGGTTGAGGCAGAAGAATCACTTGAACCTGGAAGGCAGAGGTCGCGGTGGGCCGAGTTCATGCCACTGCACTGCAGCCTGGGTGACAGAGTGAGACTGTCTCAAAAACAAAAAACAAACAAACCAAAAACAAGTCCATACTAGTGGCAATGGAAAAACTGCAAAAAAAAAAAAAAAAAAAAGTATACTTATGTAGTAATCAAAATTTGGCTAGAAATTGATATTCATGAAGACAGGGCAGTGGCTCACGACTGTAATCCCAGCACTTTGGGAGGCTGAGATGGGTGGATCACAAGGTCAGGAGTACAAGACCAGCCTGGCCAAGATGGTGAAACCCTATCTCTATTTTTAAAAATTAAGAAAGAAAGAAAGAGATTGATATTCATAGTCAATGCATATAAACACTGGAATCAATTTATTTCAAATATTTAAAATACAATAATTAAAAGTATAAGGTAGTTTGATTCTTTTTTTTTTTTTTTTTTTAAGACAAAGTCTTACTTTGTTGCCCAGACTGGAGCATAGTGGCATGATCATAGCTCACTGCAGCCTCAACCTCCTGGGCTCAAGTGATCCTCCCACCTCAGCCTCCCAAGTAGTTAGGACTACAGGTACATGCTAGTATGCTCAGCTAATTTTCTTATTTTTAATTTTTGTAGAGACAGTGGTCTCACTGTGTTGCCCAGGCTGGTCTTGAACTCCTGAGCTCATGTGATCCTCCTGCCTTTCCTCCCAAAGTGCTGGGATTACAGACTTGAGTAGCCACTGTGGCTGGCCAAGGTAGTTTGATTCTATCAGATTTTTTAAAGCCATATACATTCAAGAACAATGATTTGTATGGAATTGATAACTAGAATCTAGTTGATATTGGTGATTTGTCTAAGACTGTTATAATACCTTCAGCTCATAAATTTGCACAGAGGAGAAAATTAGCTTCTAATTAAGAAAAGAATTGGGTTCAGAAATGTTAGCTACTCATTAATCTTCAGTCAAAAAAATTTATAAAGCATGAATCTTATGAAATTCTTAGATTATCATTATTTCAGTTAATATTTATGAAACATGTTCTGCATGCCAAGTACTAGGCTACAATTTTAAAATATTTCTGATTTCATCCTTTACTTTGGATGCACACACATGCCATGTAGCATTTTTATGAGTCATAATGGAGGTACACTCTGACATATATTCTGCTGTGTTTATTCTTAAACCTTAATTAGAATTAGTATGTATGGAAAGGGTATTACCTTTAATTTTAGAAAAGACCTCACTGAAACTCAAAGAAATTATGTGGTTTTCTCAACATCACATAATTAGTAAGTACAATTATTAATATAAAGCAAAGTATTTTCCCTTTAATAACAAATGTTTGGTAAATGTACACAAAAAAGAATTCAAGTGGATTTTTTCCTAACTACTTTCATTGCTTTCAGTTAAATTCAGTATTTACTAAATGAGTTCATGAACCTATTATAGATAAACACTGAGTTAAGGTGCCTAACGAATGTTTTATTTTACAAGTACACAGATTTCTTTTTTTTTTTTTTTTTTTGGAGACAGAGTTTTGCTCTTGTTACCCAGGCTGGAGTGCAATGGCGCGATCTCGGCTCACCGCAACCTCCGCCTCCTGGGTTCAGGCAATTCTCCTGCCTCAGCCTCCTGAGTAGCTGGGATTACAGGCACGTGCCACCATGCCCAGCTAATTTTTTGTATTTTTAGTAGAGACGGGGTTTCACCATGTTGACCAGGATGGTCTCGATCTGTCGACCTCGTGATCCACCCGCCTCGGCCTCCCAAAGTGCTGGGATTACAGGCTTGAGCCACCGCACCCGGCAAGTATACAGATTTCTTAAAACATAAACTGTATTCTATAAGAAAGCAAAGAAAGTAAAATCCGCAGACTTTTTCCTACTCCCTTTGAAGTAGGCCAGTTACAAAGTTAGAAGGCTCATTCCCTAAAACTGCCCTTACTTCTGACACCAAGTTCAGGGGGCATCAAAACCTTGAGTGGAACCCTCAGGTTCACAGACATCACTGAAAGCTATTGTATTTAGGGTTATAGTTTATTACAAGGAAAGGATACAGATTACAACTAGCCAAGGAAAGTTCATAGAGCAAAATCAGTCCGGAAATACCAAATGTGGAACTTTTATTGTCCTCTTCCTGTGGAATCAGGACAGGTTAGTCCCTCAGTATTGGTTTTTTTTGTTTGTTTGTTTTTTTGTTTTTTTTGTTTTTTTTCTGAGACGGAGTTTCGCTCTTGTTACCCAGGCTGGAGTGCAATGGCGCGATCTCGGCTCACCGCAACCTCCGCCTCCTGGGTTCAGGCAATTCTCCTGCCTCAGCCTCCTGAGTAGCTGGGATTACAGGCATGTGCCACCATGCCCAGCTAATTTTTTGTATTTTTAGTAGAGACGGGGTTTCACCATATTGACCAGGATGGTCTCGATCTCTTGACCTCGTGATCCACCCGCCTCGGCCTCCCAAAGTGCTGGGATTACAGGCTTGAGCCACCGCGCCCGGCCAGTCCCTCAGTATTGTTGAATGACAATGCACACACAAAGATTTGCCACCTGGGGAAGCTCACCCCAGTGTTCAGAATTTGTAGCGGGGCTTCATCACACAGGCATAATTGGTCGATTGATCACATCATTAATCTCTACCTCCAAGTTGACGTGACCCGAAGCCCTTGCCTTAAGTCACATTGTTGATCTTTCTGGAGTGGCCAGTCCCCACCCTAAGATTAGGCAGGTGTGACCACCTCCCTATCCTAAATCACAGTGTTAGACTATCCCATATGACTCAAGGTCTCCAGGCAAACAAAGATCTTCCTAACAGGCATAACATTCCTAGGGCCCAGAGATTATGTCTCAGAAAGCAAAGGCAAAGGTCAGACTTTCTTTTCTTTGGACAAGAGATTCTTTCCTATAAATTATTTACTACACATCTACAAGGTTTAGAAAATATCAAAATTTTTACTTAATAGTCCCCAAATGGTGAAAAGCCTGTGATTCCCCATCCCTGCCTTCTGTCCTCTCTGGAGGAAAGAGAGCATCTTTTTTCCCCTTGCCCTACACAAACCATGAAGCCTGGGAGAAATGTCAGCATTCTTCATTGTTCCTAATGTTCCTTTTACACCTTCATGTTCCTTCTTCCTTAGGAAAGCTGCCTCTTCTGAGGCTTATGACAACTATCTCCCCATATATATTTACTAACAAATTCCCAGGCACTTCTCACTTTGACAGATTTGGGAACTTTCTCAGTGTTCCTTTTCTTTTCTTTCTTCCTTTTTTTTAAAAAATTATTTTATTTCTAGGCGGGGCGCGGTGGCTCAAGCCTGTAATCCCAGCACTTTGGGAGGCCGAGGCAGGTGGATCACAAGGTCGAGAGATCGAGACCAACCTGGTCAACATGGTGAAACCCCGTCTCTACTAAAAATACAAAAAATTAGCTGGGCATGGTGGCACGTGCCTATAATCCCAGCTACTCAGGAGGCTGAGGCAGGAGAATTGCCTGAACCCAGGAGGCGGAGGTTGCGGTGAGCCGAGATCGCGCCATTGCACTCCAGCCTGGGTAACAAGAGCGAAACTCCGTCTCAAAAAAAAAAAAAAAAAAAATTATTTTATTTCTTTTTTCTTTCCTTCTCAATTTATTTTCTTTTTTGATCCCAGTGGAAGGGAATCAATGCACCTTTTCATATTAAATCCATTAAGCCAATAGTTTTGCCTCAAAACTCATTCTCTTTCCAGATTAAAGCTATCTTTACTTCATTATCCTGTAACTCTGAAATATTAAGCTCTAACAGGTCTTCTCTGATCACTACCTGTTATCCCGTTTGCCCATTACCTCTCTTACTCTAGATAATATGCTCCTTTGTCACTTAAATTCCTTCTCTCTCTTTTGTGAATCCAAGGGACATCTTTCAGGTCCTTTGTTACTTAACATCTGTTCTGAATTGGACACATTTTGCTTCTGGCTCTTTGAAACATTCCCA